GAACTAGTAACTCAAAACATAGGACTCCCGACAACAAATTATTGAACCAAAACAATTTAGGCCCCAAAAGTTGATCATGATATTTTAACACAACATGGCAGTGACCAAAGACGTTACGAGCCATGACTCGTAGACTACCTTGACGCCACTCCTCTTCCCACCCCGTCGACACGAGAACTCAATCCAGCTTACTCATAGAAACACCATTAACATGAAACCAAGTAAATTTGACACCTAGTAAGTGGAAATCCAATAACCTTATCTCTTGAATAAAAGCCCCAAACTCAAGAGATTCAACAATGGGTGATCAATGAACCCCCACTCTCACGCCATTCCTCTCGGCAGGGCAACATACAACATTGAAATCTCCCAGAACACATCAAACATCCCTTGAAAACCTCTCGCACGCCTGTAACAATAACTCTCACACGACCCTTTACTCTTACAACAAACACTTAGGAAAAACATCAAATAAACAAATATATTTATTTATCTATGGGACGGGCTATATCGTAATCATCCATAAGAAATATTTCAATAATGCATCGATTTCAATCATAAGAGATAATTTTATCATTCCATTGTAATCTTGTGGAGACCAAATTTGAATTTAAAGTTAATTATATTTTCTTAATTTTTATAATCTTTGCATTTGAAAATAAGTAATCAATTTCTTCATGACCATCTCTATCTCATTGATGCTCTGTAACTATTTATTTAAATTTATTAAGTTTGTATTTTGAAATTTTCTAATTTTATATAAAGGTAAATGAAAATGATGAAGATAAAAAAAATATATATATAAAAGAAGATAGATGTTGATGATTTACTTTTATATTCAACAAACTTGTGAGATCCAATAGTATGGTTTTTATTAAAAAAGATTCAATGATTAAAATTAAGAAAAATGAAGTCTATAATAAACATTCAATATTATTGAGTGCCTCCTATAGACTTTATTTTTAATATTATTGAGTCAATTTACCTAAAATATTTAATATTGAATTATAAATATCAATCATGAAATCAACATAAAACTATAAATGAAATTAAAAGAACCCGGATTAGTTAAAATTTTCTTTAACAAATATTTTCCAAGTCACCCATGAATTCAAAAAGGGGACGGAGTCGGAGATAAGGGTAAGGTAATAAGAACAGTTTACAGAATCTAGATAATGGGGTCACTAGAGTGCATGCAGAGGATACAAATTACAACAACCCATTTTCATTTTCAACTTAAGTGCTTTTTTCCTTTAATCTAATTATTATGAAAGCACTTTCCCTTTCCCTTCCCACAATCACTGCTACCAATTCCAATCTCAACTACGGTTCTTTCAGTGCTGCTTCTAGTTATGCCTCACTCTCTTCCTTACAACACCGTCCTTCTTCATCGACCACACTCTTCAGTATGGTTCGTATTCCTTCTTTCACTCTTTCGGTTTGTGTTTTTTTTTTAATTGTAATTTTAAGTATGATGATTATAAACAAAAGTTGATATTTTTGCATTTTCTTTTACAGAAGAAGAGTGTTGTTCGCGTGCAAGCTGAGAATGAAGATTTTGAATTGAAGCAAGTGAGGGATATGGCTGCTGCCAAAAAGAGATGGGAAGCTCTGGTATTGTTTTACATTTACATTATTCACTTTGATGATTATGTATGCTATAAATGAAATGCAAATTGAGGAGTTTCTAAATTCTAGTGCTAGTTCTAGTTGAATTGAATTTTCAATTATAGCTATTTTAAACTGCGGCTTTCGTACGCGGTTGGTTATGAGGATTTAAATGGGATTTTTGCTTGTTTGTTTTTGTAGCTCAGGGAAGAAAAAATTAAGGTTCTAACTCCAAAGGAAGCTGGTTATGCAGTTCAGCTTTCAAACAAGCCCCTTCTTGATGTCCGCCCCTCAAATGAACACAACAAGGTTTAGATTGACGTTTTCGTATACATGCATTCATGAAGTTAATTATCATGAGTAATTGATCTTGGTAGTAGATGTTGAAAGTATTAGATTGACATTTTCATATACATTTGGCTCTATTCAACTTTCAGAATTCTAGTTGTTATTGCAAATAAGTAATTCGACTCTTGTGCTTTTGTTTTTCATTTCTTGCAAACTATCCACATATTATTGTTGTGATCTATGAATTTTCTATTTTTACATGTTTTGAAGGCATGGGTGAAAGGTTCGACCTGGATTCCGATATTCGATGTTGATAATGGACTAGATATTGGAACTATTCCCAGAAAAGTTACAAATTTTGCTATGGGTATTAAAAGATCTGTGCTTGCTCTTTCATTACATTTATGCGACAATCACTCAATTTCATTGGAATCTATTACATTCGTCTTGATGTTTTGAACAGGAGGTTGGTGGAGTGGCATGCCTACATTGTCTTTTGACAAGTATGAAGTATCATATACTATCATTTCTTTGTTCTTCTGACTCATTCTCTGTGCACATAAATTTTATTTATTCATTTCTTTCCTCTCTTCAACAGCTCGTTCTTACCCAAAGTAATGGAGAAGTTCCCCAAAGATGCGGAATTAATCGTTGCATGCCAGAAGGGACTGAGGTGAGCTCTTTACATTCAACTGATTGCACACTGCATTGGGTTGCTTCTAATTATAATTTCCATTCCTTTAAATGCTGGTAATTGGTACAGCCACTTGTGTTTTGAATTTCAATTCAGTTTTTAAATCTTTGGTTCAGTGAGATTCTGGTGGGTGATCCATCTAATCATTTCACAAGTGTCTGTCAAACCAACATACAATGTAAATCTCGTATTGTACTGAACCTGGTTTTTGGCTAGATCACTAGCTGCATGTGAACAACTGTACAATGCTGGCTACACAAACCTGTTCTGGGTTCAAGGAGGCTTCGAGGCTGCTGAAGAAGAGGCATGTTTTCCCATTTCAATATTCTGAAAATTTTTCAATTGATTTTTCTAGGGCTTTACCCAAAAAGGGAGCCCTTCTAGAAATTGTCTAAGGCCTGGGTTTTAATCTAGGCTCGGAGGGGGTTCTGAAATAGTTTTCAACCAGCAATAGACGGATCTCTGTTAATACCTCACTAGCTGTGTCATTGTCCCAAGCGCAAAGATATATTGTGCTTTACTCTGATTAAATTTTGGAAAGTAAAAATAACTTATCTAGATAGCCTAATCCTTATGGCCTGCTGTGGAGCAGGATCTTGTAGTGGAGGGTTCAGTGCCACTCAAGTTTGCTGGAATCGGTGGTGTCTCGGAGTTCCTTGGGTAACTATATAATCTCCCTTTTTTCCCTTCTAATGCATGAAATGTAATATCATTGATGAAGTCTAATATGGCCTATTTAGTTCAAGTTTTCTCCAATGGATAACATAAATTATTTTCTACTTTATATTGTTTTCAATGTTTATTCCTGCCACGTTAGAACATTATACTTCTTACAAGCTATGATTGGTTGGTAATGCGAATAAAGTTCAAAATAACTATCACTGTTTGGTTTATGACACAGGCAGAGTTTTAAGTTGATGCTTGTTAAAGGCCCATGGTGATTTTAAAAAAAGAGAAATTACGTTTTTCATATGTTGGGTTCTCTTGATTTTTGTTCAACAAGTTTAATGCCAAAAGCTGAAATTACATACCTGTTACAAATCAAATTTGAGATCGGTTGTCAACTTGTCAGTATTAAGCATACATATAATTACACAGATTTGAGTTGTGATTCATCATCTATTTGATGACAACTTTCCTGTATGTAGCAGAATGTCCCTAGCTTGTGGCCATGGCAATTGCACGGGCGTAATTGCATGATATATATTTCAAATGAGACTTCACACACAATCTATAAATAATTCAAAAATTTTAAACATGTATAGAAATTTCTAACTACAAGATTACTTCCAGTTGGACAGATCAACAGAGAGCCGCTGCAGCCAAGGAAGGCTGGGGATACAGATTAGTGTTTTCTGCACGCCTGGTAATCTATATATTATATGATTTAAGTTGTGAATTGTTTTCTCAATTTTGACATCACAAATTTGAATGGTTCTTGCATAGATTGGATTATTTCTTGTTGCCGATGCATTATTTATCGGTGCTCAGCAAGCTGGACGCTATCTTCAGGAAATCAGAACCCATTGAGATACTACGGCTACATTTGAGTTATTGATTAGTCCTTCTGTAGACAATGCTCTTTGTTGTGGATGAGAAAATAGAGACAACAGGCTGAGGAACTCAATTTTGAATGCCGACCCTCGGCAGAACCCATCCTTTTGTTAGATTTACTAGCAGTTCCTAGTCACACTACATGATTATAAATCCAAGTTTAGCTGGGCAGCAATTTTAGTTTAGGTTTCTTCCATGGGGCTATGCACTACTACGTGCTTTTTAGGCCAAATTGTTGTATGTTTCTTAGAAATTTCCAGAACCCCCCAAAAAAAAAGTCCTGATATTGCTTCATTAATGTTACTATTTTGGCATGTGTATGTGTATTGAAGCCATTGATATTCTATATGAATTCCAAACCGGGATTATATTTTTGCAGAAACCCTCTCAGTGCTGGTTAAATTAAGGTTTATTGTGTGTATGGTTGTGTTCTCTGACTGTATCCATTTAGAATTTAGAATTTTCATCTTTCCTTGTGAAATTAGATTGACGATCCTTTCCGAAAAGGACAAAAGACATTTTATAACAAGTGTTACTAGCATTTAAGTTTAGTGATTTGCACTGCCTTCCCCAAATTGCAAAATCAAGTTGTAGAAATCAAAATTACCCAGCCAAATGGTTGACGAGTCGGAGATGCTTCTCAAGTTCTTGTTCTTTCTTCATCTCTTACTCAATTTGATTTTTGTGCATCATAAACAACTTTTGGGAACACTTGGTCACATAAATTGCATGAGTTAAGTGCAAATTATAAAGTATACCGGTAATGTTTTAATCTTTGATGAGAAAATTAAAAGTTGATATTAGTTACACTCAACACATACATCAATAAAAGGAAAACTCAGTATTCACATGCTCTTCACAGAAAATAAGGCTTAGCAACAACAAGAAGATTTTCTCTCCTGTGCATTGAGATGCCAAAAACTTCAGCGAGATCCAAGTCTTTTGCTGTAATACCAGGAGGAAGCTCCCAGTCAAAGCTATAGAGTAGTTGTGCAAGACCAAGCTCAATAACTGCAATGGCAAATGTAATAGCTGGACAACCTCTTCTCCCTGCCCCAAATGGTATTAGCTCAAAATCCCGCCCCTTATAATCAATTTTACTCTCTAAAAATCTCTCTGGTTTAAATGCAGCGGGATCTTCCCAACTTTCCGAATTCCTACCAATCGCCCAAGCATTGACAAAAATTCTTGTTTTAGCTGGAATTGCGTACCCTTCTACTGTAATATCTTCCATAGATTCTCTTGGGACTAATACCGGTACTGCAGGATGCAAGCGAAATGTCTCTTTAATTACAGCTCTCATGTACTGCAGTTGATGCAGGTCAGTTTCTTCAACAACTCTTCTTTCTCGCAGAATGCTACGCACTTCCTTTTGTGCTTTTTCCATAACTGGAGCATTCATTAGCAGCTCTGTCATTGCCCAATCAAGGGTAATGAATGTTGTATCAGTTCCAGCAGCAAACATATCCTGCAAAAAAAAGTGTTGTGAGCTTGTATTTGTCAACTAAGCAAGACATGGTTGTTGTTACTTATTAAGGCTTCACTTACCAGGATTATTGCCTTGATATTATCAGTGGTGAGAGGCGTTTCGCTCTCGCCCGAACCATTCTTCTGCACTTCAAGTAAAATATCTACAAGGTCCTTATGCTCCTTTAGTTTATTGCAAGCCCTGTGTTCATTCACTATCTGATCGAAGAGCTGATCGAATTTTCTTGAAGTATGTATGAGTCTCGCTTTCATACCTGTCAAGCTATGTATGAACTCGAGCGAAGGAAAAAAGTCACCAACACTGAATCCTCCAAGGAGTTCCTGAGACTCATCAAGCATCTTTTGGAACCCATGTTTTTCACTCTCTCCTCCTTCTGAAAAGTCCCTTCCAAAAGCCACACGGCAAACAGCATTATTTGCATACTGTCCCAACATCTTAGACAAATTGGTAGTTCCTGGATAACACCCTGCAACCCTTTGAACTAAACTAGAAACTTCTTCTTCTCTAACAGCACTATATGAGTTTACTCTTTTGACACTTAGAAGCTCAAGTATGCAAATTTTCCTCACATGCCTCCAATAAGCACTGTAAGGAGCAAAAGCAATATCTGTGCAGTTGTAAAAAAGGTACTTAGCTGAAAACAACTGTGGCCGGCTTGCAAGTGCAAGATCATGAGTTTTCAATATTTCTTTTGCTAGTCTAGCTGATGAAACAACCACTGTTGGGATTTGTCCAAGTTGTAGGAAAATTATGGGTCCATATTTGTGTGCAAGGCTTTGTAAAGATATGTGAGGCGTGGTGCCAAGCTGGTGGAGATTTCCAATGAAGGGTATGGTAAGAGGACCAGGAGGTAGATTGGATTTTCTCTTTCTTGAGTTGTTTACAAAGAGAAGTCTCATCAATAGAGGTATGAAAATGGATACACAGAGGAGGAATGGTCTATAGTTTTCCCAGAGCCATTGGAGCTGAGCCATTTGATAGAGCAAACGAGGATGCGCCTCACAACACATGTTGCATCCCAACTAGTGCATGGCGCTATTTGTAGAAGAGAAGAAACTCACTTAGAGACTAATCAACATATTCATTTTCTTTTTATAAAGGTACAAATCTTAGTTGTGGTTGTGTTTATGGCAACCTTACAAAAGTGTCTTATTTTCTTTTTATAAAGGTACAAATCTTAGTTGTGGTTGTGTTTATGGCAACCTTACAAAAGTGTCTGGTGGTTAAGACTCTTTAACACACCCACATGAAACCATTTTGTATTTGATGGAAAATTCACACAATAATATCTAAATAGGTAGCAGAAATAAAATTTCGACAAAAGAGCATCAATGTTTTAACGTAGAAATTTTTTAATATGAGAATAAAAATTAAATACTGCAGTTTAAAGAAATAGTTAATTATAATTAAATAAGGAAATAAGATATTCTCAAATGCAATGCATAGACGAGTGCTAATAACAACCGAACTAAATAGTAAATTAACTTATAAATAAAATAAATAAATTAAAATTACTCAAAACTGAAGTTTCAGTGTGAAACACATATCTTTGAACTTTCGATTTTGTTTAAATGATTCAAATATTAAAATAATTAAAAAATAGACACGGGTATTTCAAACATGCTCTCAAAAAATAAATTTGATCCAATAGTTAACGAATATGTAATCTCGTTTATATGTGTGAAAATGCTAAATATCATGAAAACAAATTCGCGAAAAGTACACGAATGAGTTAATTTTTTATATTCTTTGATTTTTAAAATATTATTATTCTCACTGATTTATTAGTCGAATTATTGAGTTATTGGTCGAACCACAAATTAAATTGGATTAAATCAAATAATTCAGTTGAATAAATCGATTTTTAAAACAAAATTATATATTTATTAAATCGGTCGAACCATAAGACTCGGTCACTTAAAAATATTATGACACCTATGAAATTTCAAAAGATCATAATTTCACGTGTTCATTATTTAAATTTAAATTTTAAATATAATTATCACACACAACAAAATAATACAAAATATAAATCTAAATAAATTTTGAATTAAGTTTAATTGTAAAAAAAAAAAATTATTCCAAATTAGTTTTGAATAAAATATAATTTTATATTTTAATTTTATTTAAAAAAACAAAACAATGTTATTTTTGTTCAAGAAATAAAATATGTATTTGACGGTCGATTTTCTAAAACTTCTAATTTACTGATATTTATTGATTTTGACCAATTTTAATTTATTTCTACTAGTTCAATAACATACCCAATTTAATAATCAGACTAAATTAATATTTTTTCTGATTTTTGATAATTTTTTTAATTTTTGATTTAATCGATTTGATCAATTGATTTCGCTCGATCTTTAGATACTGCTACCCTATTTTGATTTCGCTCGATCTTTAGATACTGCTATCCTATTTATATGTGATAAATAATTGATAGGATCAATTTTAATGATAATGTGATTGCAAGTTAGATTTTATACAATTTTTAATAGCTATTTAGTAGGAGAGTCGGTGAAAATCACCCTATGGATAAAAGTGAAGAGATGTATTGCAACCATCTATGCCATATCACTTCTCCACTCATCCCTATTTATTCACTTCTATTTTTTATTTAAAAAACAATTATAAATAGCCTTAACTCAAAAAGGGAAACTATATATATAGATCAATGTCTTTATGCCTATCTAATTTATTCTCATTCTTAATTGTGGATGACCATGACCAAGACCAAATGTAAATTATATAATAATAATAATAATAATAATAATAATAATAATAATAATAATAATAATAATAATAATAATAATAATTAATTTATAGATTTAAAAAAATAATACTAATATTTATATTGCAATACCCACGATTGTCCAATACTGGCAAGTATCATTTAAAATGGTTAAATGGTAATTATAAGGCACAATTGATTCTGCTATTTAATATCTTCTTACTAATAATTCAATAATCCAAAGGAAATGGTTAGAATGGAAGAAATGGCAAATTGGTAATTATGGTATAGTTGGAGGGTATTGTGGTCTCTATATCAATTGAATGATCAACAACAAGAGTTTGTTTGGTTTTATTATAAATCAGAATGAGAAATGAGAATGAAGAAGCTTATAAGCAAGAGAGAAGAGGAAGAATTCACGTTTATCATCTTAAGTTTTATTTCCGCATCTTTAATACAACTTCCACAAAAAAGGTAACAACTCCTTACTTGTAATTCAGAACTAAGCGATTCTGGACATTTTGGAAAGTAGACGGAATTTCCTTCATTTTACATATAAACTCTGTTAATTGCATTGTGATGAGGGATATAAACGTGTTTGAAGTTGGAAGATTCATGCTGAAAGTGGGTAAGAAGAAGCTACGAGTTTGATGATTATGAAAGTGGAGCTTTGATCAAGAAAGAACCTTAAGAGCAACATTATTATCATCTTCATCTCTTCAACTCAGAATCTTCAAGCATGAGGTGAGTTCCATAGTTAGAACTTGAATAGTAATGGGGATGGATTGCATGTAAATGGGGTAGTGAGATGGTTACCTGTAATGTATCTGTGAATGGATTTTATTTGGATTCTTATAGTGCATATGTTGATTCTGATATGTTATTGCATGTTAGAGATGATTTGATGATGAATTGGGAAGGAAAAAATGGGGTTCTATTAAGATAGAGGGATACCATCTATTTTGGGAACCTTGATGCATGTGGGATGTAGGATTTTGAGTGTTTCATGTTGATTCTTTCTTACATGTTAAATTTATGTTTTAACACGATAGTTTGCATGTTTTGAGGAATTAATGACAAGTTAGTTTGGTCAAATTGATGTTATTTCATGCTTGTGATGTTATGATATGTTAGTATAGGGTGTAATAATTTTGGAATAGAGAAAATATGAGAAAACAAGTGAATTTTGGGTTCTGGACTCAGTGTAACCGATTACATGCTGAGGTAATCGGTTACCTGTGAAAAAACAGAGTTTTTGGGCTATTTTTCCTGTATGTAACCAGTTAAATGATGGGGTAACCGGTTACATCACTGAGTATGTGAAATTTAGAAATTAAAAATGGCGTATCTTAAGCTCTGTAACTCTGATTTACGCCCGGTCGGAAGCTTGGAAAGTTAGTGAAAAGGATTATCCATATATGTAATAATTTGAGTTATGTGTTGTATTTAAATGTTAGAGATACTTAATTTAATTAGTACTCAAATTGATTGAGTAGTCTAATATGAATATACCGAAGTTAGTTGATACACCAATTGACTAGTTTTATTGTTAAGGAAAATGACTACTGAATGAAGAAAATCATGCATGTATGTTAGAGATACTTAATTTAATTAATACTCAAATTGATTGAGTAGTCTAATATGAATATACTAAATTTAATTGATACACCAATTGACTAGTTTCATTGTTATGGAAGATGACTATTGAATGGAGAAAATCATGCATGTATGTTAGTAATGCTCAATGAGTGTAGTATCGAGTATCTACCAACTTCGGACTGCACCAAAGTCGGTCATCCCACTACATCCTAAAGGCCAAGTTGGTCAAGTAAAGGTTCTAGAAGTTCATTAGTGCTTTATGACATCACTCAGCGGTCTCATATTCTCTTTGATTAACTCAAAGGCTACCGGTACCCACAAATATGTTGCACTAACGTAGCTATTGCTTAGACCATGTCGGTATACCCCACACAGTTTCCACAATGTATTGCTACTTACCTATATTGTATCCCAAAACCGGATAGAGGATTCAAACCCAAACAAAGAACCATAATATAAAGCATATAAGTCAAACAATGAAAGCAAGTAGATGTGATCTAACCCTAAGGTAACCCCACTTTTAGAATATTCCCTAGCAGAGTCACCAGTTCTGTGATACGGTGGGAGAACTGACTTGAAGGTTTTGCGTTTGATCGCAAATGTCGCGGTTAGCAGGAGTCGCCACTGACTTTTCTTTTATCCAAAAGGAAAGGTGAAAAAGCATAGGAAAGACCTTTGAGATTATTTCTTGAGTTCGGGGGGTAGATTATGAAAAAGGAAGGTATTAGTACCCTTTTCATCCATGGTTTTCCATGGGCTCTTAGTTACTTGCTAGATCACTTGCTTTCGTTTGAAATTATGCTTTGTGTGGTTTTTGAAAGTATTTTGTAAAGAGGTCATTGTTTAGGCAATCTTTGTAATGATTCTCGTTCATAAGAATGTATACAAAGATGTTGATCTTTTAAAAATGTTTTCAAGTTTGTAAGATGTTTGAAAGTGTATGTGATTGTTTTGAAAATAGCAAGGATGTTTGTTTGAAATTGAGCAAGTAATTATGAGCATTCTACCTACTCAAAAGTCTTTCTTGTTCATTTTTTTTCTTTGACATTGGTGTCTTACCATTGATTTGGTAAGCAACCCTATTTTTGGATGTAAATGGGACGGGCGTGGGTCATCGTATAACCATGATTAGCAATGTTGCAAGGTATCTTAGCATTCTTTTTGAGAGACTAAGATCATTTGTAAGGCAATTTAGATAGCGTCATCGAGGGACCATGATCTTGTATTTTCTTGTTTTTGCTAAGATACCTTACATGCGTAATATGGTCATTTTGTATAAGGCAACCAAGTGAGATAACCCTAGGGGTGCTTGTGTGCAAGTGTATCATTTTCATGCTTGTTTTTGTCTTTGATTAGGGTTTTCTAATTGATTGGTTTTAGTCTTTCCATACAAACCCTAATTACTAGTATTTGTATATGAAAGCGATAAATTGCATAATTTTAAAGTTACTACGCTATTACAACATTTGTGGGAGGGGGTGTACAAATTGAATGGGGATTGCAAGAATTTAAAGCCTAATTAGTCTATTACAACCATATTGAATTGATATCAATGTACAAGGAAATAAATAAATACAAAGTACAAAATGAATAAATCTACAAAAAATGCAAAATGTAAAGAAAATGTATCTTTGTTTGATTTTC